GTACCCAGAAAAGCTAAGTAGACGTTTTAATGTTTGGGTTACAATATAAATAGACACACTCAAGTCAGAGACGGTGTGTGTACCTGAGTGTGCTTTCACCCTTCTAAAGAGGTGAGGCAATGAATTTGACAGTACAACTCTTAATGTTAAATTCTTTATCTCAATAGCTCCTTTAGCTCAGACAATTGGTTTTTAAACTTTGGGCTGTAGACTGTGAGATATTTTCTCCATATGTTTTGGATTCAACATAAATGGGTTTATATGGTATATGAAAAACGACGTATATTTAGAAATTAATGGCTTTTGCTAGTGCAATCGGGTTGAAACGTTAAGTAATTCCAAATTTATAAATTGCGTCAGTTCCGGAACACATTAATGTATGATGTAACGCGAATGTCTAAAAGTTTTTACGATAATTAATGGCCCTGAACTAAAAAGTTGAAAAATAACGATTTACATATTACATAAGAAAGTAGGTATACTAACAAAATCATAATTTTCAAAAAACTTCTAATAAAAAAAAAATGTTAATGATCACTACCCCGGTAAACTCTCTTCGAGTTTTTACGTTGTATCTTAGGTACAAAAAGGTTTTTAATTCTTAAAAGTTTAAAGTAACCCTTGAGTTAAAAAAAAAACTTAGTAAATAATATTATCAAATAGATACGATATAAGTACTGGGTACTGGTTATGTGCTGTTACTATCATTTATAGTGGGTGTTTAATAATTTGGACGGATAATCCAATTACAATTTGTTTGAGCTGGATATTGGGTTATTCGGAGCTCTAAGCTTGTTATTGGCGGACCGTTAATACTCGTATGTATATTCACTGTGTATATTCAATGATATACTGCTGCATTAAACTGGGACAGATTTAGGATCACAGGCGGACTTGAATGTTTCGACAACGCAGCTTATTATTCCATCTTCTGTAATGAATGCGTCTTTATCACCTTATTTATTCTTCTTTTATATAATTCTTCTTTTATGAAAAGTTAAACAAAACAGTTTTACTATTACGGTCGAGAAAAATCCCATAGAGTAGGTAGAATTTGCCGTACTTCCGACACGTTTTTTATCTACTACTACTATGAATACAATCAATACGTTACAGACGGAAATGGATGCTTCTTTCAGTAAACAAAAAAACTAAATCCGAAGTGTAAAAAGAACCAAACAAGATGTCCAAAGAATTGAACCTCTTAAATTTTATGACCAAAATACCAGAAAAGTCTTGAAAAGTAAATAGATCGTCTAAATAAATAAAAAAAGTAATTAGAATTCAATGTATTTATATTAGGGATATTAGGCCGCTTCTTAATAGTGTAAACATTGATTCAGTTCAAAAACGTCAGAGCACATCATAGCCACGTGTAAAAACAAGTGTTAAAGATAATATCCCCATTCCCAATACGTCTGCATTTCCTGGTAAACACGCAACTGATGATGAACGAATCCCCAATGTGTCTGTTACTTTTGAAATACCCAGTTCAGGAGAATTAAATTACGAATTCTACATTTCCAATTAGGGTTTGACTTAATTAAATATGCTTCTAATCAATAATGGACTTTTCTAATAAACGAAAAATAGCAAGTTATAAGTCTAAGAATACGGAAGAGTAGTGTCCTTTATATACTGTAATCGGCAAATGTTAGAATGAATTAAAAATGTTCTTTGAATCATCTCTTTTGAAATTAGATCTTTTTATAGAGACTAATCAATGCAAATGGTGCCTTGGTTCTGTTAGAACACATCATATTCAAATGCATTTGAAAACAATTTGTCTAGTAATACTCGTCGTATGGATGTAATTTGAGATAGCTCATCTATAAGCGTTTAAATGGTCACTAACCATTGCATCTCAAAATAATATCTACGAATATCTATATAAATCTTTCGATAGCAAAGGGGAAAATGCTCAAAATATTTGCCTACAGACAGGTATTTGGTATAGACATATATTGACCACAGAATAATTCTTATACCCTTAAATTTAAAACAGAATTACACTACTTGAATGTCTATTTTAGATGGTGAATTGATAAGTTGGCCAATAAACCCTTTATGAGACCACAAGTAGTGTTTACGGACAATTACAATGTAATACTTAAGTGAACGGTTTATAGTTGTTACTTGAAGGTTTTACACAATGAATTTATGCTCAATCTATTTCGGTCGATGCTTGAACTCTATCTTGATACAGGCGGCGGCATATTATGTTTATGATAACTTAGCTAGCCACTGAAAATTCATGAACTGACTGTTTTATTCTTTTACGACTTCAAATATGATGGATATACGTAGTTGTTAGAGAAATTATGCATATAGTTGATGAAAAGCAAGAAACACAGGTTTTGTTTCAATTCTAATATGATGGTAGAAATGTTTATATTTTTTAAATAATACAACCTCGTGCTTATAATGGTGCTGGTACTAATTGCAATGCCGTATACAGCTGAAAGTAGCAATAAATTCTATGGCTAATAGGCGCAAATAGTAAACTCATATACTTCATACTTTATGAATAGGGTGACATGAAAGCTTTAGTGCTTTAAGTAAGAAATTACTACTAAAATAAGTAATAGGTCTAGCTGCAGAAATATCTTTAGGCTTAAACGCTTTTCTGCGAAGTAATAATGATCGCAGGTGTATATTACATCTTTTGCAGAAAATCTAACCGTTAAATATTATGTTTTTAGTTAAGTAAGCGTACGTTTTCACTGGTCCGTATTGGAAATATTGACATTAATTAGAAAATACGTACAGCGTTTAGCTAGTATAGCTAATTGTTAAAAGAAGATGTTAATTGCAAGTTAAGTCTTAAACTTGGCTTGAGTATAAAACTGACAAAAGAAAGGGATTGCAAGAAAATCCTTACAATTTTGAAGAGTTTATTAAACGATTTTAATGATATAGACCTAGAAAAAAACAAAGATTACTAATAAGCTGGTTACTTCTGCCTGACTGAGGACTAATGGTCGTTGGAGACAACGTGTCGTGTACTGGAGACCTAGAGCAACCCCCGTCCAGATAGGCTGACGACTTGAAGAAGATAGATGCAATAGAGTGGAGGCTATTTTTCGTCCAGGAGCGTCTAATATGGTAAACATTGGGAGAGGTCTACGTCCAGGTACAGGTTAATGGATCGAATGTTAGTCTTACAACTTGGAAGTTTGAACTCACAACCAATCCTGTTGGAGACAAAGAATTTTTAATTTAACTTTCACAAAGCTGCCACTAATAAAAGTGCAGGGTATCAACATCGTAATAGCATAAATGTTCTCGTCCATCGCTATATTTAAAACTAAAACATTTGTTTAGAAAACAATGCATAGACAATGAACGACCGAGCTGTATTTCACTCTATTTTGTTTTGAAACTACCTTTTTGGTATAATACTCTTTCATCTCTAATTGACTTTTGTTTATGAAACAATGAAGTTTATGATGTTTATAAAAAAGGTTTATTTATAAACGTCAAAACAGATGTTGAGACTTCACCTTTTTGACTGATTTCAATGTTTTCCCTTATTATTTTAGTACGTTATTATACTGTGTGTAAATCTCTGGGCATGAAGATATATGTCACTAGCTGTCCCATTCGGCATGAAATATAGAATAGTGTTCAACTCTTCTCAGATATTATGAATTGGCTGGGATGACATTAATTGTCCATGGCTCTTAGATGTAAAATGACTGAAATCTTATTTTCTACTATTTAAAATAGGATTCCATGAAATATAAACAAACGTTATTACGTAAAAAGTGTTTTAACGTCATAATTTGAAACTCAACCGTTTAATCTTAAAACTACCTAAAATATATCAACTGTTACTATTGAATATTGGCTAAATGAAAACCGGTCTATTTTTCTACTATTTAACTATTTGTCTATGTTTTTATTGTGTAGAAATGCGTTTTCACACATTCTTTCAATGGCACAAGTGTGCTTGATCTGTAATAAAAAAATAAGACATTTCCATTGCTTCTGCAATTAATTTAAAATTATTTTTCTTCGAATAGGTGTAGGTCTCGAATTATTCATTTAATTAATATAAGACATGTCACTACCAGTTGTCTATGGCTTGTTATTTTTAAACAATATGCCCGCAAATATTCTGATTACATTCGATTTCAGTGGTAGTGACGTGTATTATAGATACATTAATTATTTTCGTAAAAAAAAAAGAAAAAGCTGAGATGCAAAAATCAGTCAAGATAAATGAGGTGAAAAGGCTTCTTTTTTTAATACATAAAAGGTAAATATATCACATTATAAAAGCATTTAAGAGAAAAAAATACTAAAACCAAAATCACAGTTTTCTAGACAAGATTCATAACTTGTCCAAAGTTTTTCGTTTATAATATAAATAAATTCTAATTAATGCGTATTCGTTGAAAAATAAAACAAAAACTGTCTTTTGAATTAAAAATAAAAAGGCTACCTAATTTTTTTTAAATACGATTTCCTATGTCTGCATTTGATCCGTTAAGAACCCTAATTCTTAGTCATATTTTTTGCATAATGAAAAATATAAAAAATCGTTAATTCCTAAACGGTTTAAGAAACCTAATTTTATCATACATGTTAACATTTCATTATATATAAATATATTTAACTCATCGTAATCTACAGTTTGATGTTCCTCTATGATCAAATTAATTCACATATTAGTTCGATTATTCAGTAGGCCTTATAATAAAATTAGGCTTTCGAGTTCCTTACAGACTAAAGTTCTGGAACTAAGATCGAAACTTGAGTTTTTTGCACAATCCTTCACCTTTACTTACACACGGGTTACATCCAAAATCCTTGGGGCACAACACAAGTACAGTATACCACGAAAGTTTTGTATCACGGCTCTTTAAATCGTACACAATTCACGTGTAAATTAGAGTGTCAGGGCGTAAATGCAGAGTATGTAAAGTTTGTGTGGTGGCAGGGCCTGGCTTCGCGAGGATATCCGCGCGCGGGGGCCGCGCCGCCCGAGCGCACATTCACCGAGCCAGAGGCGCTAAAACGGCGCTCGCAGCCAGAGCCAGGGCCAAGGAAGATGCCAAAGCAGCCCCACGGGAGTGAGATAACTCTTCGCTCTTGATCACCTCATTCGGTGTCTTGTCGTACTTGTGCGTCTTTTTAGTGACAGGTTTCACGGTTGTTGTGGTGGTTGTGGTCGCTGGCGTGGTAGGCGGTGGTGGTGGGGGCGGCAGAGTTGGTTGTGGGGTTGGCGCCGGAGACTGCTCCTCCGGCTTGCAGCACACCCGGAACACTAGCTTCATATTATGGCTAAGGCATCTACCCCCGATGCGTCTGTGCAAGTCGTCCTTGCTGGACGTTGATATAAAATAGTAGTCTTTGCCGGGCAAGAACTCTAGACCGCCCGGCTGAGGTGTGAATGGTCGGAAAGTTATTGTGAAAAACATCAATTTGTGCGGTTTATCGCATATTGCGATTATACGGGGGTTTGGATTCGTTATCCTACATGTATCATACTCTTCTTTGCTTACGTTATATATTATATACTTCTCGGTATCTTCTTCGAAAGTGCCTGGCGTGTACACTGGACATATTATATTGACTTGGTCATACTCGAACTGAGCGTTCCCTTTATTCAAATCAAAGACATGATCGGTGTTGTCTATTCTGAATATACTGTTTGTTGTGTTCCAGTGTATATAAAAAGATTTTGCATAGTTCCCCATCACGCTTTCGATGAAGAAAATGAGGACGAGAACTGTCCAGGGCGTGTGGCGCAGACCGAAGTAAGTTAGGGAAACCATCCTGACTGGTTTACGCGACTCTCATTATCCGATCGAAGACGCTTTACAAAGCGATGTTTTTTACACACAGTCGCACAAGCACATGCACCAATCCATATTTATAAAGCTTTACGAACACTTTTCATCACTGTACATTCACAATTTAACATATAAAACACGATCAATCCATTCAAAGGCGACGCGATGGGTCCTCCATTACACCGCTCGCTAGATTTTATTCAACGATAAATGTGGAATTCCATAGGACGTGGCCGCTCGAAAACGCGTCAAAAACGACGCTTGCGTTTAGTATAACACTGCTATTTGCTCACTAATAGTTGTAGAAGTTGTTTAGTAGTAGGATGAAGTTAGAATTAATCAATACATCACAGATTTTTTTATAATACAGAGATGTTCTTTGTATTGGGAGCGGGCGTCGCGGAGCTGGGCACGATGGCGCCGCGCGGTAGACGGCCGAACTACTGGAATGCGGCTCGCGAGCCCGGTACGCATGCGGCTGGGTCCCCTCCCTCACCTCACTATTCACCCCGCGTGTAACCGACGCGTTCAGAGCTTAGCTGAGCTTTCGTAGCTGTCGCCATCTTTACTTTTTGTGTACGTAGTTAGTCAAAAATGAAAATTTAAATCGATTTTTTAACTTTAGGACTAAATATGGATAATATTTGCTATTTGTATTATTACTATTTTGTATAGAATAAAATAAGTTGGGACAAAGTTGTAATTTGAGCTTTTAGTTATTCACGAACGCAGCGATAAGCGGCCATTGAAAAAAGCCCACAACTGGTTTTGTTATACAGTCGTAATCGTAAATGGCTGTGACGTCGTACGAACAGACAGGACGATATTGCACACGATAATCATTTATAATTTTATGCTAATTATTCGTGATTTAATTTCATTTAATGAATGTTTTTGTTACTTATAATACTTTTATGTTTTCATTATCTGGTTTCTTAATAAAATACCTACATGTTTGTAATTGTAAATACACTTTTTTATTAACTATGTTATTTCGATTGTCAACTGCTTTGTGTAGAAGACTTTAATTAGTTAATTATAATTTCGCATAAAGCATTGAAGTTTAGTATACGCAGAAAATTGTAGACAATATAATACTATTCAAAAAAGGACTAGAGAGGAATATTATTTGGGTATGGGTCACAGAATTTTTTTCCTCTCATACAAGCCACCTGTTTAAGATAAGAGGCGCCTTTTTTATGTCTACTTTATATATTCTGTTAACCAACAGACTAGTTAAAGCGTGCTTAGTTGTTAGTGCTAAAACTAGTGCCTACTTCAAAGAGGAGTTGATAATTTGATCCAACTCGTAATATTGGAACAGAAAAACCTGTTGGGAACCAGAAAAAATTGGGAGAAAATTTATTTAAAGGGAGAAAACAATAATATTGCTTATACAAACGTACAGAAGAGAAACAAGCTCAAATAAATCAGGGTCTAACATCCCAGGTTTGTAACATAAAGTGGCTGTTACCGGGAAGTCCGTGCACTCTACTTAACGATAGTACGGCTGGTGTTGCAAATATTTCAGGCATAACCAGCCACTAATATACAGCAGGATTACAGTAGAAAGTTAACAAAAGATGTACAAAAAGCACTGAGAACGAGGAGATCTTATACCAAAGACGTTGCGAAAAGTGACCGAGAGAAGATTACTTGAGAGAATTGATCAGAGGGTATTGTCTGTTATGCTAATAGAAGTGGGTCACAAGAGTCAAATCTTCGCCCTATAGTACGGATACCTATTATTCTACAAACAGCAATGGTTTAGGTTAGGACTTCTTTATTCGGTTACTACTCGCCGCCCTGCAAAATATTTTTGGTAAAAAGTGATTTTTAGATATAATATAAATCTTCATATCGATCTTTGTTCTCTTACTGGACGCTGTTTTCCATAAGCTCACTTTCCTCACTGAGACAAGAACATAAATATTTTTAATGTAAGACATTGAATACCATAGCCTCAAATGTACATTACATTATATTACATTACAAAACCATACTGAATAGCTCACTAAGTTTTAGAAACCATATAGACGAGATTGTGAAAAAGAATCTAAGATTTTTCAAATCACGGCAATTCAAATATTTGAAAACGTAAACGTCATTAGACCAGTTTGTATTGCATAATCCGTAGTATTCTCGAATATTGCAACCAGGTGTGGAATCTCCCACTCAAATAGAATTGAATGTATTCAAAAATACTTCTATATCAACTGTTATTCATCGATAATAAATGCAAGGACCTGATATCTTACGAGTCTAGATTGAACTTTTATAAAATGAAATCCCCAAATGCACGAAAAATTCATGTGATATTGTTGTACTTTGTAAAGTTATACATGGATTGGTACATTGAGCGAAGTGCCTAGCCACCATTAACATTCACGTTCCACGAACCGGTAGTCGTCTTCACAATAGGAAGAGATTTTTCTTACCACGATATCGGACAAATATTGGACAGCATTCAGCTTTATATCGCTTGTGTAGAAGTTATAATGGCATCAAATCTCAGTGTTCAGCAGTTGGCTATTAAAGGCTGTTGATGATGTTGATGATGACAGTTTTTTAAACCTTAGCTAAACCGAAAACCGAAAATCTTGAGCGAAAAACAACTAATCTTAGCATTTCTTTAGTTCAATGGTTTTTTTTCATGTTCATTAGTATATAATATCATTATTTTAACTATTATTTTTTGAATTAATATTCTGTCACTTAAGCATGATCACTGCGCTAGAGGGAGCACATAAAATGTTTGTATTATTATGTAAGTTTCTTGCCATAACCAATTAGTGTTCTATAATTAAAAAATACATCACACATCACATTAACGGCCTTTAATAGTCCACTGCTGGATATATGCCTCTCTTTAGAAAGGAGGTTTAGGTCTGCTATACAACGCTGGCCAGGCGGGCTTTATATAGGGTTTATTTTAAGTTTCCCTTCTCTTTTCAGTGCTGTTGTCCTGTGTACTTTGCCTAGTTTGTAATACATTACATTGTTACATTATATGTTTCGCTGTAACAATAGTGTACAAACAAAGAGTTATGCTGTCTATCTATTTCTTACTCACTACTGCAGTGTAGTTTGTAGAATCATCTAATAACCGACAAAGCGTAAGTGATTAAAAAAAACTGTAGTTAAATAGTAGCTTTTTTATCGGAAGATTAAATGATAAACAATTTGAAACTCAATTTCAAGAAGACCTACAATCATTGTTGATTGTAAATTATTTTGAAGAGGTTGAAAGATGTAGGCGGGCCCCAAATTGACATAAAATTGAATCTTTTAATAGATCTTGTGTAACAATGTTACGCGTAACACAGATGAAGTATTTATTAGACTTAAATCATTTTATAACGGTGTACACTAATAAGATTATATTTACCCTATCCTAATGGCATAGTGGTTTGTGTAACGGACTGCTATTCCAAAGGTCGCGGGTTCGATTCCCGCTCAAGTCAAAAATTTGTGTGCATGATCATTTAATGTTTGATTTGGTCTGGGTGTTTCTATGTATAATCATCATCAACAGCCTTTACTAGTCCACTGCTGGACATAGGCCTCTCCTTAGGAAGGAGGTTTTGGCCTACTATGGCCAGACGGGTTGGTATAGGGTTTGTTTCAAGTTTTCCTTCTCTCTGCAGTGCTGTTGTCCTGCGTAGTTTGCTTCCTTAGTCGCCTCTTACGACACCCACGGGATGAATAGGGGTGGTGACACTCTGTATTCTTAATCCGTCACCACACGGAAATCCGTCACCACACGGAAATGTATAATATGTATGTATTTACAAAAAAAGAAGTATAAATATGTTTATATAAGTTGCCTAGTACCCATAGTACAAGCTCTGCTTAGTTTGGGACTAGATGGCGTCGTGTGAATGTAGTGAAATATATTTTATTATTATATTATTATTAATTAAAAGCTTTAGTAACTTTATATTAAAAACATTCAGTTTTATTTAGTTTAACCTTTAGTTGTATGCGACGGCTGTCCTGCGGTCTCGGGTTCGTACCAAATGTAATCTCTAAATATTTGTTTCGGAGTTTGGGTGTTTTATATGTAATAGGTCTTTACCTATGAAATTGCCGTTTTGTATGCAATAAGTGAAAGTACTTATTTTTTCAAACTTTTTTATTTCTGTTATTCGAAGTAATCACCCATGCAATCGATGCATCTTTGCCAACGCATTGGCAGTTTATTGATGCCCTTCTTGTAAAAATCAGCTGGACGGGAGGCAACTAACTCTTCAAAGACATTTTGTACTGCCTCTCGGGAATTTTTTACCCTATAAAAAGGGAAAGGACCGTTAGGACTACCTTTTTATGTAATGGAGGGGCAAGCGAGCTCGACTCGGATGATAGAGCGTATTTCCCTTTGACAAACCATTAGGTCTGAAACTATTCGGGGATTCCCGAAATACTTATACACATATGTGCAATCTACATAAATAAGCAAATTTAATTGAAAAATAACCTTAAAAAATGGGTTAAATGTTACGAGAATTAACTTATAAACTACGACACTAAACTACTATCGGACGTAAAGTTCGTCGTAAAAGATAGAAATAAATTAACAGCATAGAAGCACCATCATCCTCAACAGTCTTTAATAGTCCACTGCTGGATATAAGCCTCTAGGAGTCTCACCACCCCTATTCATCCCATGGGTGTCGTAAGAGGCGACTAAGGGAGCAAACTAAGCAGTCAGCAGCACTGCTAAGAGAATTAAATCTCAAAACAAACCCTATACCAATCCGTTTGGCCAGCGTGGTATAGTAGGCCAAAAACTCCATTCTAAGGAAAGGCCTATGGGCTGTTAAAAGCTGTTGATGATGAGTAGTGGAAAATTAAAGAATGAAGAAAACTTTTATTCCAATTAATCATGATTAAAGGTGAAGATGGTGATACAACCTCACACATCTCACACACAGCCGTCTAATCGTACTCATCAAACAATGTTTGTCCTGGGTGGGATTCGA